AGGAGGGGCGGGGAGGACTCGAGATGCTGCCGCGGCCCCCCACGAGCCCCCCAGCTGCCTCGAGTGCTCTGCTGGCTGCACACAGCCCGAGCAGGTGGAGGAGGGAGCTGTCAGCCATAAAGCAGAGCTGGTTTGTGGTGCACACTCTGGAGCAGCCGGTGGGACTTTGCAGCCCATCAAGGGCTGCCCACCCCATCCTCATCTCAGTTGCAGAGACCAAAGGCTGCCTACACCCCATGGACACTCCCAAGAGCCTTTCCAGAGCCCACTGGGGAAAGCCAGAGCAGCGAGGGAGCTGCCTTACCCAGGTAGGTGTTCTCCTTCTCGTAGAGGGACACGATCTCCTGCCAGTCCTGGGGAGGAGGAAGCAGAGAGTGGGGGAGGCCGCAAACACACCGGCTGTTGCCGGACACACGTCCGCGGGCCCTCGCTCACCTTCATGCGCTGGGACGAGTAGCGCCCAAAGAGGTTCTTGGTGGAGGCCTCAGTGCCCTTGAGGATCTCCACAATCCTCAGGCAGTGGAAGTAGTGGATGTCTGCGATGGAGGGAGAGATGTGGTCAGCACAGAGCCAGCAAGGCCTGGTGGCGTCCTGCCTTGCTCGCAGCCTGGCCCAGGGAGCACAGGCCTGGGAAAGGGCCGTGTTGCTGGCTCTGTCTCCTCCTCACCCAGAGGAGCTTATCGTAAGTGAAGCCCTTGGGAACAGGCTCCATGTCCAACAGTTACCACCACCGCCCGCGTTCCCAGCTCTCCAGGGCATCCCAGACCCTGCTGAGCCGCGCTCTACTCACAGGACCCTGCGAGAAGCTGCTTTATCTCCTCGTTCTCCGGCATGTCTTGGATGGCCCCGTTGATCTTCTCGCGGATCGCCAGCACCTGGCTCTGCCATTTCAGGTTGCAGTGTCTCCTGTCCACCAGCCAGTCTGCAAGCGGGAGGGAGACGGGTGGTGAGCAGGGACGGGGTCCTGCGGGGGGCTGTACACAGCCAGCAGGAGAGTCTCCCCTCACCAGGGCAGCTTTATGGCCCCACAGGGAGGCAGAGAGCAGAGCACCTCCCAGCATGGGGGGCTGGGGCGTCCCGTCCCCTCTGAGCAGAGGGGACGAGGCCTGGCCGAACACAGAGATAAACTTGGGAAGGACCTGACAAGAGGAAGGGGGATCTCACCCTGCTCCTGCCTGGGCTGGGGCAGCGGAGGTGCCAGCGTCGTGACGAGAGGGGCAGCGCTGCCCCCCGATGCGCTACGCAGAGGGGTGATGAACCCGCCAGGGAAGCGGGACACGAGTGACACAGCGCCCGTCCCCATGTGCCAGGGCGTCTCAGCACCGTGACCCCCCACCTTCACCCCACACCTCAGGGTGCCACTGCCTGAGGGTCCCCCTGCCCCGGGGCTCCCCTGCCCGGCGGGGAGGACGGGTCGGGGTGGTGCCATACCCAGGAGCTTGCTGGTCTGGATGTCGATGGGCAGGTTCTGGTAGTCCTGGGGGAGACCGGCGGGGCGAGGAGGACATGGACGTGGCACGGCACGCTGCAGTGAGCCCTGGCCCTGGCCTGATCCACCCCCCTATCCCGGG